ATATAATATTAGAAAGCGATACGGTGAATACAATATCTAGCCCCCCAGTGGCACAGCGGTATGTCTGCGGACTTACAACGCTAGAAACCGTGTTTCGATACCCGTGGTGGCAGAGCACAGATAGCCCTTTGTGAAGCTTTGTGCTTTACTACAAAGAAGAATACAATATCTAATATAACACACGTTTTTTAATTAGTTAATATTATGTTTGTTTGTTTTTAATTATGCACAAAGCTACACAAGGGTTATCTGTGCTCTGCCCACCACGGGTATCGAAACCCGGATTCTAGCGTTGTAAGTCCGCAGACATACCGCTATGCCACTGGGGGGCGTTAATATTATGTATCTACTCTAATGTTAAATAGAATGACATTTCAAACATATAGTGAACATATAATCAAAAGTTATGGTTTAAACGCCGAAAGCCGGCGAAATATTGGAAAACCAAAAGGCTTAAAAATCATTGTAAAAACAAAATAACTGCATATTTGCTTTTATCCACATTCCTATTAATTTGTCTATTGCAGCTCGAAATCAGAGGCGTGTAAAAATAGTATTTCAGATCTAACGTTTGTTTTCCACATATTGCTGACCAATAATTTTTTCGTTCAATACCAGAACTCATCAGCTTGAACTCTCGCCCAGTGAAAAGAATATCCTAAATAAAGAAATTAAGTTTGTCCCTATCAATAGTAGCGTCGATACCTTTGGCACAATGGAAGATATCGAGCGATTTGTTTCTCATATTAAGACTGAAAACCAATTTTTACAAAATCTCGGAAACACATTCTTCAAAAATTACCCCTTCTTGTGATCCCTTCTCTAAATTTTCCTCAAAACACTTCTCATGGACGCCATCCTCCGGAGAGTTCATTGCTCAGATTTACTTCACTTGTAAGTGTAGGAATGAAATCAATTAATTGGATTTAAACGTGAAAAATAAATCTATAAATATCTCTCACGACGAACAATTGGCTTTAAATAACTTGCAACAAAGAGATGACATTGTTATAAAACCATCGGACAAAGGTGAAGCCATTGTAGTTTGGCGCAAGGATTTATATATATATCTGAAGCCTTGAAACAACTAAAGAATAGTACTTTTTACACCCATCTTCGAAACAACCCAATTAATGACCTCAACAACCTAATAACATCCACAATTGAAGAAATGACAGATGCTGAAGAATTACCCATTGCAGCCAAGAATCTCATCGTAAGTGAACCTAGAACTCCCACTTTCTGTCCTCTCACTAAAATCCACAAGGAAGGATATCTGGAACGACCCATTGTATCTATATGCAGTTGCCCTACAGAACAAATATCCTGTTACCTTGACGACTTTTTTTCACCATTCGTCATGAACTTACAAACACACATAAAGGACACAACTCTTTTGATTACTTTAATCAAGAACACACATTTAACTGGAAAGGAACACTTCATTTCCTTAGACCAAAGACCCATACTGAACCCTTCAACACACACACTTCTATGTTTAACCCAACTTGTACTCACACTTAGTGTCTATACTTTTAATTGTAACTGCCATAAACAGATCTGCAGGGTCGCCATGGAAACTAAAATGGGCTCCACCTTTGCCGGCCTCCTTGTTGGATATACCGAAATTCTTATGTTTAATCAATATAACGGATTAGCACCAGTGATGTATCGTCACTACATTGACGACATGCTAGGGATTGCATGCATACATACCAAAATCAGATTTAGAAATTGTCTACACTATATTTCCTCTTTCCACACTTCTTTAAAATTTACTTGGGAAATATCCGATACAACATTCCCATTTCTCGACATTAATATATACATACAAGACGACCATCTGACCACTAGTATACATTACAAAGAAACACATTCACACACGTACGTACATTTCAACTTGGCTCGGCATGGCCAGGTGGTTAGGGCGCTCGACTCGCAATCTGAGGGTCGCGCGTTCGAATCCCCGTCCCACCAAACATGCTTGCCCTTTTAGCCGTGGGGGCGTTATAATATTACGGTCAATCCCACTATTCGCTGGTAAAAGAGTAGACCAAGAGTTGGCGGTGGGTGGTGATGACTAGCTGCCTTCCCTCTAGTCTTACACTGCTAAATTAGGGACGGCTAGCGCAGATAGCCCTCGTGTAGCTTTGCTTTCAAAAACAAACAAACATTTCGAATCTTCCAACCCTTACAGTAACAAAAAGTCAATACCATACTCACAATTTCTACAACTACGCAAGCTAAGTAGTGATGATGATGATAATGATTATAAATTAAAATCCAAAGACACGGAAACTTTCTTTTCTAAACGACATTACCCTAATTCTCTCATCCACGATCCAGCTACCAAAGCTAGTTCATATATCCAGGAGCAAACATTCAACCCTACCAAGAAAGAACACACCAATCGCCTTGTGTTAAAACACCAACAGACCAACAAGAAGATCAACTGTTTGTTTGTTTATAATTAAACACAAAGCTACACAATGGGCTATCTGTCCTCTGCCCATCACGGGTATCAAAACCCGGTTTCTAGCGTTGTAAGTACGCAGCCATATCGCTGTGCCACGGAGGGGGGGGCAATAAGATGAAATATATTATTATATTAAACAACTACACAATACTTACTGAAGACCTTACCACTAAATCTCTTTTCAAGAACCCACCCCCTTATTTTTTACAGACATGACAAACACCTGAAAGAAATCCTGGTTCACAGTGACCTTTATTGCTCCAACAGGCATTCACAAAATAGAACGACTAATTTTTCCATTTTAATTTCAATCTGTTTTACGTTTTCTTGACTTGTAATATTTATGTATAAGATGTAATTTCATGCTCAACGCTCAAAATGCTACGCATTCAATTTTTAAATTCTGCGCATGCGCCTTTTGTTGTCAGCTGTACGACCTGACGAAGAGCACTAGCTCAAAACATCATCCTCTTCAAATAGAAACTTGGCGATTGTTTGACCTATTCTTTAATTTCGATATCTTTGTAGCCTATGTGGTTAAATCTATATTTCTTTCTTATAAATCATCACATGGGTTGGACAATGAGAGACAAAAGATTCCATGAAACGTTAATCGTATATTCAATATGATACTTTAAAGGTTTACGGAAGATTGGAAGACTAATAGCATTAAATATTTTGTTAAAACAAGCTAACTGCGGATGCTTTTTTTCACATTCCATTAACATTTTTTCATTGTTTTTACAACAACTTTTCTGCCTATTGGTTTTCCAATATTTCGCTACCTTTCGGTGTTTAATCCGTAACTTTTAAATTATTATCCTGTAAATAGCGTTTTATAAAATATTTTGTCTCTCATAGTCCAGCCGAAATGACGAGTTCTGGTATTGAGTGGAAAACTTATTGGGGGCAGCAATACGTGGGAGACAAAACATAAATATGAAACTATTTTTACACATATTTGAATTCGAGCTGCAACGAACATATTATCACTTATTGTATAGTATTCCGCTTTATTGCAGCTCCTGTCAAAAATATCACACGAGTGGTAAATCTCCCTATAGGAATTAGTACACAAAATGTTAAGGAAAAAAATCTTACTTTCATGTCGTAATGTACAAAAAACATTTGATTGATTTGTTTAATTATGTCATAATAAATAAAATAAAATGGAATTTAAGAACTTAACTTCCTAACATACTTAAATGTCAAGAAAACGAAACCACATTTACAGTTTTGGATGTAAAACAAAACAAAAAAAAAACAACAGGTTTCCAGCATTTTCTTTTCATTTTCTCTTTCACAATATTATTATATAGAACTACATTCAGCAATTACACCCACCTGATCTAATGCCCTTCGCTTGTTAAGATTCTTTTTTTTTCTGTTTCTGATGCAAGTTAAGAGCAAAGCATGTTCTAATAGTAACCGAAAACATGTTTCTAACGTGATCATATTACCGCGGTAACCATTCTGTTACCCAACAAAGAAATTTCTTGCTGTTTTAGCAGAAAACCATTTACTCTTTCAGTGGTTGTAGAAAAATATGAATCCAATCACGTGCTTGGTCACGTGAATGATTTTTTTTATTATCGATTCCAATGCAATAAAAAAAGAAATGTATCAGTTATTATTAAAAACATTCATCGTCACACATAAGTAATCTCAAGAATATCTAACTGAAGGTTCAAGTTTTGTTAAAAGGCGTAGTTCATATTGTTAATAATGTAGTCTACGTGTCAACAGTGTCATTAAAATTCACTTCAGCTACACTTTAACTGAAGCGTGATCCACCAGTCATAATGCGATGTACTATTTCATTTATTACCAACTAATAGATCACGCATTACCAACATAGGCGTTATACATCATAAGACTGGGTTCTTATAACACCTTACTCTCTTAGACGGAAGAATGGTTTAAGTACTGGTTATACGGCGGATGATGTTACGGAAATACTTGCACTTAATTCTATCAGTTTCTAAGTGAAGCATAAGCTTTACAGGTCCTAAAAATTCGTTAAAACAACCTCTGTTATTTGGTTCTTATTCTACTTAGTTTTTATTTGAGATGACGTTATATTCATCCATAAATTATATGGTTGGCAAGCGTGGTTCTGTTAAAAAAACAAAGTAAAACACTTTTCTAAAGGCGCAAGATTTTATCTTCTGTGGATAGGATTCATTAGCGTGATAGACGCAATTCTTTGTAAAACAAGAAATGTAAGGAATTTTGCTTGAATAATGTTTAGCTAAGTATGAAGAAAGAGAAAACAAAGCATCATTCATTTTAATAATAATAAACCCTTACTACAGAGAAAACTTGCATTAATAGTGTGATAGTAATTATTTTGTATTACTCACGAACTGTATAATCTTCACACGTTAAATCACCAGTACGTTTTGTTCGCATATATATATATATATATGATCTTTCATGGTTTCCAATGATAGTCACGACGGAAACAATAGCTTGTAGTAGCATTAATGTAGGTTACACATAAATGGAAATACCAATACTTATAACAACAGCTACATCATATTTCTATAAGGGAAATTATTGGAAATCATAATACTTATAAAAACGGCTACATCATATTTCTATAAGGGAAATTATGGGAAATCATAATACTTATAAAAACTGCTACATCATATTTCTATAAGGGAAATTATTGGAAATCATAATACTTATAAAAACTGCTACATCATATTTCTATAAGGGAAATTATGGGAAATCATAATACTTATAAAAACGGCTACATCATATTTCTATAAGTGAAATTATGGGAAATCATAATACTTATAAAAACCGTTACATCATATTTCTATAAGGGAAATTATGGGAAATCATAATACTTATAAAAACGGTTACATCATATTTCTATAAGAGAAATTATGGGAAATATAATACTTATAAAAACGGTTACATCTTGTTTCTGTGAGAAAATCATAGGGTTTTCTTATCAAGTAAGCGCAATATTTACCACCTACATTGTGATAAAGATCCGGGTTGTGGGTGTCAAACTGTAGTGCCTGTTCGTACATAGCCTCTGCTTCTTTTGTTCTGAAAAAGGAACCGCAAAAAATAGTTACAAATGGAGCAATATATAATTGATATATTAAATACGTATCGGTAAAAGTTTCAGCCTAGAAAACGGAATCTCTTTCTTTTGTGGTATTCGAATGTCACTGTTACAATAATATGAATCTTAAAGAATATTTACCCCAGGCTTGATCCGGCTCAAAATAATCAAAATATCTTTAATTGCATTTCGTCACGTCCACGTGCATGCAAGTGTCGTATTATTAGTGATATTATAGCTGTACTTGTGTCTAACAAAACTGATCGACATAAAAGCAGGAGATTATGGTTTAATGATAAAAACTACAACAGAATAAAGTAAAACTGACCACCTTTTAAAACCGTATAAAATGTACGAAAACAAATATATAATTCTTTACGTCTCTTAATTTTGAGCCGTGTTTGTTGTATAAGTAGAATTTCTTTAATTTTCAGTTAGTGTGGCGCCTAACTACTTGGCCTAGCCGGGCCCTGAATTCTATCTGTGAGAACCATAGCTGTCTTTAAGTTCGAAGAATGTAATATTTCTTTTAACGCTTTATTTGATTAATAAACAACATTTTAACATCTTGTCAGAAGATTAACCGTAAACGAAAGAAGTAGAGCTGAATGTTCCTCGGAACTACTTTTTTTCTTCATATAGAGCTAGGTGGATTCTGCAGTAAGACTACCTAGAGTTTGTGTTAACTGACCACAACACAGCGAATAATATATGTATGTAGGCACATACATATATTCGTATTTACTTATTTATTCTTTACTGTCTTACTCTCTAATAATACCTGCTTTAAATGCGATTCCTATCGTGTAAAATAAAACAATTAACTCAAATGTAATTGATAACAACGCCAGATGTAATGTTTTTAAACATTATATGATATTTGTGTAATACTAGTCCAACGTCGTGTGGAGAACTATAATAAAACACGAACATACAGCAATGGATGACACGCTCGAACGACGGTAATAAAGAAAATAAATAATTTTTCAGCAATGAAAGATGGATTAAAGTTTCCCAGAACCGCCAGAACAAGTTATAGAGGCATGCTGGAATAAGTATAGTCTTCGAACTAAACACAAAATGTCGAAAAAGTGGAAAGAGAGTTTTACAGAACAACCAGATGACAGTATGGATCAATATTAGCGAGTGCAACCATCTCTATGAAAAGAAATTGCGATGTACAAATTCTTGAAACGTGCCTTAGGGAAATCAAAGTCGGAAGCTGGATAATTTTCACCTGTATTGTAAAATTTATATTTCTATACGAGTGTGAGCAAAATCACGATGCTTTCAGAGGGACAAAGTGAACTCCTGTAGAGAGAACTTACAAACTATAAAATTGAATTTGTACAGTTCCGGAAACATGAGCTTGGTTGAGATTTCTAATCAGTGGAGCGATACATTCACTTGTTGTAAGCAAAGAATAGTTTTAAATCAAAATGAATTTCCTAAAAATTAAAAGAAGTATCGGAGTAGTTAGCCACCACAGTCAAACCAGGTCATGATACCAAAGGAAAAAAAACAACGTAATTTCACATTTTAAACTTAGAAAGAGAAACAAAACATTGTGTAAATCTGTGGAGCTAGCACAACAAGCAGGACTTCGAACTCTATTCCATATTACAACCATATGATATCTAATATTTAAAAGCATTGTAAAGAAGCAATAATCTGGATTAAAAACTGCATAAACAGAATGATTTGTTTGTTTTTGGATTTCGTGCAAAGCTACATTAGGGCTATCTGCGCTAGCCGTCCCTAATTTAGCAGTGTAAGACTAGAGGGAAGGCAGCTAGTCATCACCACCCACCGCCAACTCTTGGGCTACCCTTTTACCAACGAATAGTGGGATTGACCGTCACATTATAACGCCCCCACGGCTGAAAGGGCGAGCATGTTTGGTGGGATGGGGATACAAACCCGCGACCCGCAGACTGCGAGTCGAGCGCCCTAACCATCTGGCCATGCCGGACCAAACCGAATGGAGACATTATATTAGGCCTTTCTAGAGAGTTTCAAAGAATTGGAAATCATAAAAAAGTACAAGATAATACAGTAAGAACAAGACTAGATCCTGAAGTTAAATGAATTTTTATTGGGCTAGCAGTACTCATAAACCTCTTATTTCCGACCAAAGCGGAAATATTTCAAAACTCTTTTCTGTACACATCTTGTGTGTGTGTGTGGTAGGTCATTTCCATCTGAAAAATAAAACTTTTCAGATGACGACGTGCTTTTATTTTCTCTAGGTACATAAAAGAACATAAACAAGGTACAGAAACCTATAACCAGTTTTTATGAAAGGGAAAAAAAAACACTCAGTACATGTATGCTTCACAAATTTATGCCATGACGTTCAATGATATATAGTTTAAGTTTCCACAGAAACAAGATACACAGGTAGCAAATAGGCTTAACGCAAGTAACCTTAATTTGTAGAAATATATGGTAAACGAAAAGATACAAGTTCTATAGTGTTTTGTGATTATTTTGCACATGACACATAATATCGGAATTAGAAAGCTAAACATTCTGTCTAAATAAAAGCATCAAAATATTATCACATTTTTCGTTAAGCCACTACGATTGACATTGAAAGCCAATTATGACAAGATAAAAACGTTTTATATTAGTTTAAGAAATTTGAAAGAATTCATTTTTAGTATTTCATAATGAAGATCTTTCAAACTAACACAAAGGAAAGGCAATAGATGCAAATACATCTATATGTAACCAAAACACAGAGAGAGAGAGAAACTGAAGATACTTTTCAAAGAACAATTTTCAACTTAATCTATCATTTTCATTATCATGTGTAATATACGAGTAATAGTAAGCAAAGCACTAACTGACATTGTCTATATATTAAAGTGCCAAGCGTAAAATATGTAAATCATCAGCAAAAACAGATAATTAGTGTCATTTAACAATTTATAATTACTCGCGAAAACACAGTACTATTATTTGCTAAATCAGTTGTTAGTAGTGAATACAGATAATTAATATAATGCGCGTGTCAGAAGTTAAGGCAGTTTCATAGAAGTATCATGTTTCCTTATATATATATATGGACAAGAACAGAACTTATGAAAATGTATACATTTTGATTGAATAAATTTATTTATTTTTATCCTCGCCTTTAGCAAACGAAATTACTTACCTATTAATTTTCATTAAAAAATCTCCTCGATTTAGATAAGCTCCCGTGTAATCTGACCTCAGTTTGATAGCTTCTTGATACAGCTGAAAAGAAATGTGATACAACTGATAAATTAACTTTAAATTACTCTGGCACCTCACGAAACGATACTCTGTGATACAAGCTAGGTGACAATTGAAAGTAGAAAATTTTATCATTCGGTATACTTATAATCGTTTAACCTGCCGCCGACGACGACGACGTGTATGGGTGGACGAGAGAAGGACATTCGTGTTAGTGTAGTCGAAAAAGTCCCATGTTTTTCTGCAGTTGATCATAACATCCATGAGAGCATTTATTTTGAGGATGCAATCTTTAAAGCGAGCAGAATTTATAAGATTCCTATAGTAAAAGTGTCGAATAGTATAATGACATTGTCAGACACCCAGTTACAGTGAATCAGTGCAAATATATCTTGTAACTTATTAACTCAGGGTTAAAATTCAGTTACCGTGAATCGATGTGTAAATGTCCTCGTTGCTGGGCAGACGTAGTTGTTAAATCAGTGGTTAAATCCTTTTATATTCTATTATGTGTATACAGAACATGTGTTAAATCAGTGGTTAAATCCTTTTATATTCTATTATGTGTATACAGAATATGTGTTAAATCAGTGGTTAAATCCTTTTATATTCTACTATGTGTATACAGAATATGTGTTAAATCAGTGGTTAAATCCTTTTATATTCTATTATGTGTGTACAGAATATGGTTTTATTTGTATCTCCATGTATTTTGTTTGTTTGTTTAAATTTATGCACAAAGCTACACAATGGGCTATCTGTGCTCTGCCCAATACGGGTATCGAAACCCGGTTTCTAGCGTTGTAAGTCCGCAGACATACTGCTGTGCTACTGGGGGGCGTCTCCATGTAATTAGAGTGTAAAAGTTGTGATTATGTCTCCAGAGAATTATTTGTGAGGATATTCAAAAATTACGTGAGAGATGTCATTATCCCTTTAATGTAACTCAAATCCTCATCATTGATGTAATGATAGCAATTGCTTTATAATAACAACTAATCAATGTATGGTAAATATGCATATTTTGTCCTCCAACGTTACGTACACATTTTCAACAATCAAAAATCCTTTTTACATCATTGTTGGGTCATTTGATTCGATTTATTTTGATGAACTAGTTCATGTTGTGGATGTATTTTCCCTTTATGGCAACGAACATAATGGCTGTAGTTCATTTACAAGCATAACTTGAATTTCCTGCAAAGCTAACAGAGGGCTAGATCCACAAGTCGTTCCAAATTTTGAGGTGATAGACTAGTGGAAAGGCAGCTATCCAACATCAGCCATCACCAACTATTGGTCTATTTCTTCCAGAACTAAAAGTGAGATTTGACCAAAAGTGCGCAGAGCAATTTTTGTTTTGGTGGTAAAGGGACACGAAACCTCAGACACACTAACCACTAGGCTGCACTCGACTCTCAAAACATAACGTATGCTGAGCCTTGGTGTTATGCGAAAGGCCTCGTCAGCGCTGGATACAGCATATATAATGTGATTGACATATTATACATTCTTCTTTGCTTTCCCTCAAACGTTCTTAGAACTTATACTATCTGGTTTGATACGAGAAAATTTCTCTCATTATTCTATTCTGATTATTTAACAATATGGCAACCAAACTATGTCTGCCATATCCAGTGCCGACGAGGCCTTTCGCCTAATACCAGAGTTTGCCAGCTGGAATATAACAACCAAAGTAGCGGTTGAAATGCTATTTATATAACCGTATTGAATGAACAACAACTGTTCTGTTGTAAACTAGATTAAGATGATGGTGTGTATTATTCTTTAATTAATTTTATATGAGTTATTTACAAAATTAAGAATTAAGGTAAGGATTAATAACACAACTGATCTATTTATTTTAAAACAATTATTTATTTTTACTTGAATTATCTTTAATCATCATTCAGAAAAACAGGTGAATCAACAAGCCTGTCGTAAACATTGAGAGTAGAAAATAGACTTAAAATTATAAACATTATTTTTTATGACAGCACTGTGCATTCGAACAATGAAATTAACTTAACTTCTGCACTTGTTTTTACTTCGCATATTCTGCACTTACCGCATCTGCCTCTTCTAGCCTTGTGTGATTGCGTGAGATCAGCGACGCAAGATTGAGGAACAGCTGTAGGTGTGTTTGAGTAACACGAGCTTCTGAGGACTTGACACGACTGGATCGAGGAAGGAGTGATTTGGCCTGTTGAGGAAATAAAGCTTACTTTTTTTTCTACGTGTTTGAAGATAGCTATATAGATATCGAATAAAGGTATACATTTTTTTCACCATTGATAGTATAATATCAAAATATTTGAATATTTAATAAAAATGATGTTTCTGTTAGATTAACCAGATTAAGAAGGTCAGAGCAAAGAGGATTTGACTAAATATGAAAATGTACTAAAATATCTAATAAACTTGTTACTTGAAAAGTATATTTGTTTTAAAACTTTCTGAGAAATAATAAATATCAATTTGATATAGAAATTATAAAGGTATGGTAATACAGATTATTACAAAGTAATGTTAGGCTTAAGGTCATATTATCACAAAAATTGTATAAGTGAACGCGCGACTTGAAAATGATATTACGTACGCGATTTTCTTAATAAGTATATTCAATCAAATTTTTCTTTTACTATGTAACTTGGGCAGCTGGCTACATAACGTGGAGTTTTCCTTTTGATTAACCAAATGTCCATATCTCAAAGAAAAGGTTTTCTTATTATGATAACAGGAAATCTAGAGTTGGTAGTATGATAAAAGTATTGAAAAAAGGGGGTACTTATTCACATGACATTTAACCCTAATATTACTATTTTGGGTTTATATCATTAAATTAATCAATAATATCTAAACTAAACAGTATTTTATATTATGACAGACTCACATTTTATTAAGAACCTGTAATAAACTAAGTTATATTTGTTTGTTTGTGTTAGATCAAAGCCACATTGGGCTACCTGCTGTGTTCACTGAAGGGATCGAACCCCGGATTTGTTGTGTTGTAAGTCCGTAAACTTACCACTGTCCCACCGAGAAACACTAAGTCTTATAACCAAGCCAATTGATGCTTAAATAGTTGGCCCGGCATGGCCAGGTGGTTAGGGCGTTCGACTCCCAATCCACAGGTTCGAATCCACGTCACACCAAACATGCTCGCCCTTTCAGCCGTGGGGGCGTTATAAAGTGACGGTCAATCCTACTATTCGTTGGTAAAAGAGTATCCCAAGAGTGGTGGGTGGTGATAACTAGCTGCCTTCCCTCAAGTCTTACACTGCTAAATTAGGGACGGTTAGCGCAGATAGCCCTCGTGTTGCTTTGCGCGAAATTCAAACCAAAACTTAAATAGTTTAGGAAAATATATTTAAAACTGGCTACCCAATTCTAGAGTTACAAATAGTTTTGAGTCACGTTTCCATCAAAGATTCATTATCACCATATAATGTGAACACATGCTAAGAAAATCTAAAGGTATTTTATCTAATATAAAATAAAAGGCACTATAAAAAGAAATTTTGATTGATCGTAGAGACACGAAAAATTATTGATGAGATATTAAGAGAAAAACAAAAAACATGCTGAACGAAAAATCAAAGTCTTTAATATTCTTCCAATGTTTTACAAACAAACAAGAAAAAGAAAGGCCACATTTTGAAATCACTTTAACATTATAAAATTAAATGTTTTGTATAATTGTGACTCCTATCACTTAATCGTAAATTGATTAGTTTTTCATAAAACAGACTTTTGGTTTTGTTTCAAGATATTTAATATATCGAATCTCCCCCAAAGCCTAACATATCTGCTAATGTTAAAATATAGGCAAAGGCAGTATCAAAGAACAGTTATAGCAGATATAATCCAATTCCCGTGGCTCTGAAATTATATCTATTTCAAGGGTGAGAGAGAGATGCTTAATAACAGTAACATAACTCACGAGTACCTTGAGGTACACCAACTCGGCTTCTTGATATTTCTTCATGAGTGTGAAAAGCCAGCCAGAGTTTAGATAACCTCGTATGTCATCTGGTTGAATTCTGAAAGAAGCAAGAAAGAAGGAAAGCTTAAATACAGGCATTCTGTAGTTTCATATACATCTTGTTAGCTCTGTTGATTAGTAATATAAAAAGCAAAGGCAAAAGGATTCTTTGCCAACAAAATAGTAGTTTTATGTTAGATATCTTGTTAAGATCGACATGTACAGTTGAACGTATTACGTGCTTCTAAAACCAAGAGTAAAAAAAAAATAGAAATGCCACAAAAACAGACAAGTTATTTAGTTCACGAACAAGGAGTAAAATCAGCAACTTCAAGCTAGGTCAGACACAAGTTGGTCAAGTAAATCCGTTTTGTCTTGGTCAATCAATGCTCTTATAAAAAGACGACGTTTTCCAGTCCTGCAATAAGAGCTTGCTTTTAAGTAGCTTTTTCCAACTTATAAAAACTTCTCTTACCTAATTGCTTGTTGGAAATATTGTAAGGCCTCCTCGTATTGAGCTTGCTTCTCTAAAACTTTTCCCAAGTTGTTGTAAAGTTTGGCATTTTTCTGGTTTACTCGGAGACCGGAAGAAAACAGAGTTTCATCAGAAGCCCTGTACAACATATATGGATCCTCTCGTAATTGATTTTCTCAGAATAAGCCAAAGTAAAATAATATCTGTCCAACAGTTTAGTGTATTGCAATATATTGTGGTAAGCATTCATGTGTTTCCTAATAATGTAGCAGCTTTCACAATGTCGTCCAACAATTAAGAAATGACCTGTACAAATCTAAACATTTATGCCTTACATTTCACTCAAAAACACTGTCATTTCTATTATCTCTGTCTAAATGGTATATTATTTACTGTAGAGAAAATATGTACCTTAGTCGAAAGAAAAACATTTTACTGTCATGTACTTGAATTACTCATCACACATTTCGTTTTTAGGATAAATAAATAATGAGCGTTTCTTCTTGTTTAATAACACAATAATAGTTAATGCATGAAATATAAGATCTTTTGTTTATTTAGCCAAAGTCTGAATGTATAGTAGGAAATTTCCACAAATGGTGAAATAATTAAAAGTTAAAATTCACGAAAGATACACACTTGCTTTTTATTCATCACGCCCCTCTGTCTTTCAAGTCGGCCCGGCATGGCCAGGTGGTTAGGGCGCTCGATACGCAATCTGAAGGTCGCGGGTTCGAATCCATGTCCCACCAAACATGCTCGCCCTTTCAGCCGTGGGGGCGTTATAATGTGACGGTCAATCTCACTATTCGTTGGTAAAAGAGTAACCCAAGATTTGGTGGTGGGTGGTGATGACTAGCTGCCTTCCCTCTAGTCTTACACTGCTAAATTAGGGACGGATAGCGCAGATAGCCCTCGTGTAGCTTTGCGCGAAATTCAAAATAAACAAACGATCCTTCAAGCCATAGAGTTCAAAAGAACAACTTAGTCGTCAAGTAGATACATAAAGAACTAAATGAAAGTGGACAGTTGACGCTAGAAGAAAACCCAGGTACGGATGTCATGTGATGTCTGTTTTTTTACCTCTTAAACAAAGCCAGAAACGTATAGCCATGCTATAACTTAATATCCTGGCTGAGTCTGATAATTCTTGACTTAGAAACAGAGCTGACTTTTCATGGCCAATTTTCATTCAAATCTAATTTGTCTCCAATGTAGCGCCCTAGAGCAAAATGTGTTTTATTTATAAAAAAAAGACAAGAAACGACAACAGTAATAAACTCTTGCTTACTCAGGCGACAGTTAAACCAACATACACATTTCACTTCACACGTAAAAGATAAAATAAAGAGGCATATTACGTACGTGTGAATGTGAACGAATACATGTAATACATGTGAGTGAAGAACAAATTAATTATGTACAGGTAATGCATATTCGTGAAATAGCGAACAAGTAAATTGACTGTATGTACAAAGCATCAGATGGACTTACCATTCTCTGTTTCTAACTGCAGTCTTTGTTCCATGGGCAATCACCAACAGAACGACACCGACCACAGCCAGGCCCCTCAGACGTCTGAAATGTAAGATAGAAGATCAATTTCATGACTTATTTCTGGCTGACATAAAATACAAGAAGCTTTCTTTTATCTCCGTGTTTTATTTGTTTTTATTTTGTTCTTCCAGTTTCGACCTTTTTAATGCACTTTCAATTGTTTAGACACCTCACCAAACATTGATTTTGTTTTTTTTATCTTATTTTATTTTCTGTAGGAGGTATGTACATGTATACCCGTGTATCATGTTTAACGCCTTTTAACTTTATCTTTCTCTCGCTTTATACGAACCTTCTACAGGCTACAAATTATTCTAACCTATAATTTGTTTTGATATGTTCACAAATCAAATTTTTCTAAGATGAAAAGTTAAAATAGAAAAGTACAGTAACTCGGTAGCTTTGTTTTCAGGTGTTGTGCAATATATAAATATATATATGTTCTTCCTTTTCTCCTAGGATATCAGTCAGCAACATAACCATGAACGAAGACCTCAAGCCTCGTGAATTTCAAAATTACGTTCTTCAGAGATATTATATAATCACCACATTGTAGAGTTTTTTAATCCACTAATATTTTTAAACAATATTTTCGAAAAATTTGAATTATAAACAAATATAGGTCAGTTTATGTGTGTTCGTTTGCAACATAATAAAATATGAGATATATCTCAGATCTTGTATTTTCCTTGGTGTTAGATGAGCACTGGTTCACGAAGTCTTGTGTTTTAGAGTTCTTTGTTTAGAAATCGCGAATGTTCTGGAAGAATATTATAGCTGGGTTTTGTATCAAAACTGTGTGGTTTTGATAAGATTTTCATGTTTCTGACACTATTTTAGCATGAACATGTTCTGGAACCAAGTTCCATATGACTTTTGTTTTGGAATATTTGTTATAAAATTCTATATATGTCCTGGGGCAGGTTAGTATTTTGAATTGGTTATGTTTAAAGACTGAAATTCTAGGCTCCATTACGTTACAGGGTCGGGTTTGTATGCTAGACGTATTACATTACAGGACTCATAAAAAAACTCAGTTTACTTCCAAGCTCTGCTTTTATGTCTCGGGTATATACCCTAGACCAGATTTCTCTCTCTAAATCTCGAACATGTATATTGACCAGGTTTATCCTCAGTAACATGTTTCAGTGCACTTTCTACAACTATTTCTTGAAACTGATATATGTTATGAGTCATTTATTGAAAGCTTCTCCCATGATTAGATCATATCTCTACTGCTTCTGATTTTTATGGCACAGATTTTGGTGCTTTAATTGTATGTATTTGTCATTTGTTCCTGAGAATATATCTGATCTTGGAATCTGTATATCTGCCATCGTCTAAAGTATCGTTTTGTACTTGATAAACTTAGCGTTACTTCACATACCAGGGTTTTTATTATTTATCTATACAGAAAAATTATCATGCCTGAAATTCACCAGACAGTACAAAATCGCACAAAGACAGTTACTTACCTACGCTCGTACGGACCGAACGGCGGAGTGTACGGTACGAGCAGAGTAGCGTCCGTCCCCTTTCCTACGCCGGTCGGGG